TTTCTACTTAATCATATGCTAATATTATCTAACAAATTACAAAATAATTTTTGGCCAATTAAGTATCTCCCTTAGGAGTAACATAATAACTTGTATTCTATATATTATAGATCTAAACTCTTCGAAGCAGAAACATCATATATAATTTTATAAAAGTACACTTTATAAGACGGTGCATTTTTGCTTTTAGCAATTCTAAGTATTTACTAGCAGGTCCAAACAAACTCAGTTGTTATCAAGTAAAAGTATGTAGAATAGGTTATAAATCTTGAAGAATTACCAGTTGTTTGCTTGCAGCTTTATGTTAGAACTATTCTTAACCTGCTAAACTGCATGCACTTCTAGGCTCTGACAAAGCCTTGCAATTGAGTAACTCACCCCTTAATCTGGAGCAGAGGCAAGAAAAGCAATCATGTTTACACATTTTATCAAACTAGAATTAAGGCTATGGGAAGTGATATGCCTTGATATTGTCTTGTATTAGCGTATATACTGTGTACATTCATATATTGAGAGTAGCTTAGTGAGCGGAATACAAGTAATAACATTTTCCCCTTTCTGATAACCTCTGCCCACGAAATAAGAACTTGGAAAGATATGGCTAGAGGTCAATAAACTTCAGTGTGCAATTCTATCTCTGTGGACCAGCGTTAACCCAGGCCTAGAGCATCGTATTCAACTTAATATAGAAACTCCTGTCATCAACACTGTGTCAGCATTTCCAAGGCAAAGACCTAGCATGCTGCAAATTAATCAAATTTCATTTTAGAGTTAAATAGAGAAAGATGCTGATCTACCTAAAGGAAATGTTTCCTTCCAAGAGGAGGAGGAGGAGGAAGACAAATAGTAAAGTCAAATGCTACCAACACGCTGAGGATGCCACAGGAAAATGTTTCTTATAAAGGTCTAAGCCCAATTGGGGGGGGTGTGTGTGCTAGAGTGCTTTAGTTTTATAGAAAGATGGGCATAGCAGGTATGGTTGAAACCTGGCAGAATAAACAAAACCAGCGGGAAAATGTTCTCTTTAGAAACTAATTCTATCTGAAGAATAGGGAATACCTCTTGAACATCTAAATAAATATGTGATGACATATATAAAGCAAGCAGAAGCAGGAAGTAAGCAAAGGATACAGCTTAATAGATCATAACAAGAAACATTTACTACTATAAAGCTGGTTTAAATATTCTCTGATTTTCGTCAAATGCTATTGCTGTTCTTTGTCTACATCAAGAGATGTGTGTGTGTATCCTTTTTTTTAAAAAAATTCAATATATCTCCCTGATATATATTGATATGTGTTATATATTTAATATATATCAATATATATATATAACTATATTTATTTATAAAATAATAAGTATATCGATATATATCAAGGAGATATATTGAAAAACTTGAAGAGCCTTGGTAGTACAGGGGTTTAAGGCACCCTGTTATTAAGCTGGTTATTAAGACCAGCTGCCTGCAATTACTGCAGGGTTCGAATCTCGCCAAGGCTCAAGGTTGACTCAGCCTTCCATCCTTTCTAAGGTAAATTGAGGACCCAGTTGTGGGGGCAATAAGCTGACTTTGTATAAATATACAAAAGGATGAAGGCTATTGCTGAGCACATTGTAAGCCGCCCTGAGTCTTCGGAGAAGGGCGGCATATAAATCAAATTTAAAAAAAAAAAAACTAATTCTCTATGTCTGTTTGATAAATATTCTGTTCTGAAATGGACATTTTATAAAATTTCCATGATAAGTCCAAATATTGCATTGCCATATGTTACTCTTATTACCTATAAGAGTATCTTTATATATCTCATTTTTAAAGAGTCAACATTTTGATAACTAAGAAACAGAAGTCTGTTCCACTCCAGGTTTAGGTTTTGTTTTTTTTTAGTTTTTTTAGTTTTTTTAATTATATTTGTATACCGCCCTTCTCCTGAAGGACTCAGGACGGTGAACACCCATGATAAAACAACATACAAGACAAAATTTAAAAAACATATTAAAACAATCCAATCTTTGGCCAAAATTAAAACTTCCAATTAAAACCATTTTAAACTATTTTTAAAACCCAATTTAAAATCATTTATCCCGTCAGACTGGCTTGCTGAAATAATAGGGTCTTCAGAGCACGACGGAAGGTGTGGAGGTCGGGGATCCTTTGTATGTCCAGGGGCAATTCATTCCATAGGGCAGGAGCCCCCACAGAGAAGGCTCTCCCCCTGGAGGTCGCCAGTCGACATTGTTTGGCCGATGGCACCCTGAAGAGGCCCTCTCTATGGGAGCGTGTCAGTCGGTGGGAGGAAAACGGTGGCAGAATGCGGTCCTGTAAGTAACCAGGTCCTAAGCCATGGAGCGCTTTAAAGGTGGTAACCAACACCTTGAAGCGCACCCAGAAGACCACCAGGAGCCAGTGCAGCTCGCGCAAGAGGGGTGTTACATGGGAGCAACGAGTCGCCCCCATTATCACTCGTGCGGCCACATTCTGGACCAGCTGGAGCCTCCGGGTGCTCCTCAAGGGGAGCCCCATGTAGAGAGCATTACAATAATCCAGACGGGAAATGACGAGGGCGTGAGTGACTGTGCGCAAGGTGTCCCGATCCAGAAAGGGACGCAACTGGGAAATCAGGCGAACCTGATAAAAAGCCCCCCTGGCCACGGCCGTCATATGATCGTCTACAGACAGCCGTGAAACCAGGAGGACGCCCAAGTTGCGAGCCCTCTCTGAGGGGGGTCGAAACAAATACATTCCCTTTAAAGACAGAAACAGCTTTAACTAATTATTTTTTAAAAGAGATCGTTTTAAGAATATTCTTTAGTTTGATGGATGAGAAAGACATACTTCTGAGTTTTTCTGGCAGCATGTACATACATTGTAGTACAATATCTACATAGTATACCATATAAATCAAGAAAATTAAGAGTCTTCTGATGCCTTGAATATTAATGTTTAGAATCCACAAAAAGTTTTGTGACAATAAATGTTATTTTATAAGAAACTAAATAAATCTATGCATTTTAAATGTGCCATAAATCTTTTGTTCTTGTTTGGGTAATGCATTCATATATTTACTCTCACATGCATAAATAAACTTTAGACCATGGCAGATCTCTGATCTGTTAATCTAAGTTAATATTTATTTTTCATTCTCTATTACCATAGCATATCACAAAACAGCCTTAAAATTGTCTCCATGTTAAAATTAGCATGGTACTCTTGATTAATCATCTGGAGCTTTAATTAATTCACTGATTAATGTTTGCTATCTTATTTGCTTTCTAATATATAACAGGAAGCACAATTAATGAATTATTTCTTGACAGAAAGTTATTGGAGAAATAACAAAGTATGAGAAAAATTTTACAAAGTTTGCAAACTCATGATTTCATTAAATCGCTCCTGTTTACATGAGAATTAAATGACTGCTGTGGTAAGAGAGTGGGGGACAGTAATTCGTATCCTAACGAATTACGAGGGTCTAAAGCTACTTTATCTCTGTCTATTCTACCCCCTAGAGTAGAGTTATTGCAGGTTTCAGGTATAAACATAGACATGTCCTCTTTCTTGCAACAGTTGTCTTTAGCTATATTGATGTTAAAGGAGTATGTCCCCCTTAAACTGAGAACATTTATATGTAGCCTCAAGATTAATGAAATCTGTTATGGTTCACCCTTATTACCCCAGAAGCAAAATCAGGTGACCAGCAGTGGGTGTGATCAGAGGGGTGATAATTGGTCATCTGCCACCATTCTGCTCTTGCTCTTTAAAAAACTGGAGATCCTTTGAGTTTGCCCAAGGCATTATGACTGTTTAATCAACAATACGTTGATTAAACGTTGATATAAGGCCTGTAGCCCTCACCAGTTTAGTGCAAAGTTTAAGTAATGTAAGTATATTTTATTTCTTCCCACCTGGATTCTACTTGCATGCCATCCAATGCAGTGGTGGGTTGCCCCCGGTTCTCACCGGTTCTATAGAACTGGTAGTAAAACTGTTGGGAGGCTCTGCCCACCAACCCCGACGTCATCAAAACGCTTCTGCGCATGAGACCCCGCTGCGAACCGGTAGTAAAGGTAAGTAGAACCCATCCCTGATCCAATGCCATATTGCTGCCCTTCAGATATGAGGGAAAATATTAAGAACTGGTTGCAGAAACTGGCTGAACTATAAGGAAACACCCATGCAGAGATCCAAACATCTTAAAAACTATAATTCCACTCAAGTATTTTGCTCACAATAAACTCTTTTATAGCACCTGAAACCCCGAAATATGCTTCTTTGCCTACCATTTGGCAATTTTGACTAGGTTCTGTCCTCCTTTGGTTGATGGCATTTGGGAGTAGGAGAAAAATTCCTGACAGGAATAATACCTGACAGGTATTATTCAATAGGAACAATAAGAAGTCCAACCTATGACCTACAAAAACAGCCTATGAATACAATTACCAAGGATTGGGGGGGGGGAATATACCAGTATTAGTTACCCACATATCATACCTGGACTAACATACTGGCAGTTTGATACATACAGTTTTGCTATTTAAAAAAATGAAAGTAATTATCCCCAGAAAGTGTTACCTTCATAAAAAGTATAAACTATCTATGAAACAAGGACATTCAAGCTTAAAAGGTTTTTAATGTAAATTTTGGATAGTTCTTATTTAAATTACATATAAGTGGTATCCTAACATGGTGCTGCCATGCACAATCTCCCCTTGTGTAAAGATACTGACAGAGCCAAAGGGAAGAGTTAAATGAGTTATCAGTTTAGAATCATTAGATAGCCACAAAAAAACCCTCTTGAACACAGTTGAGCCTTATCTAGTCCAGGTGGAAGCCGTTAGTCTGAGAATATTTCTGTGCATAGGCTTTAGTAATAAACCAATAATTTAGAACCTTCACATGTTGACCTGTTTTTTTGCGCCTAACACCTTGACTCCTTCCGGGCTACCTGCGCCACTATTTAAATGTACTTTACATTCAATTATTGAAAGGAGAGAATACTTACATTATCATTGCTTCCTTTGTTGTCCTCATATTTGGTCTCTATGTGAATGGAGAACTTGGGCAAAAATGAGCACTGTAAAGAAAACATATAACATATAATGCAACAATTATATCCATTAACAGTTTCATGATGTCCTTTCTCCATTACAGTATCCTGGCTATCATTTCTATCTGCCTCATATTTGGGAGAATTAGCCTGACGTTTATAAGTGCAAAATCTCTATAAGGACAGAGGAGGGGAAAATACTTCACAAGTTCAACAGTCTCAACATTCTCCATGAATATTTCAGCTCATGGATAGTTTCCTAAATTTTGCTGGCAAGTTACACTTTCCTCAGAACTGAAGCATTTGTTTTATTGAAGATAGTTACGCTGCACTTGCAAAGGGTAAGTAATAAAAGCAAACCAATTTCTAGAGAAAACAAACATTGAGAGGAAAAGCAGAAGAGCGGATGTAATAGGCATACAGTATGAACTGAAGGAAGCTGAATCTTTTTGCCACCCATCATATTTCAATTGCCCAACTATCCAAATTATTTTTCCTGCCATAGAATTGTATACTTGGAGATGCTTTTCATTGATGTAGCAACTTCCAGATTTATGGCAAATAAATCTGGATGGAATGAATGAATAGAAGGAAATCATCATTATTATGATTATCATCATCATCATCATCATCATCATCATCATCATCATCATCCCTGTAAGACAGGGCTCTCCAAACTTGGCATCTTCAAGACTTTTCTTAGCAGGTAGTCCTCGACTTACAACCATTCATTTAGTAACCATTCAAAATTACAACAGCACTGAAAAAAAGTGACTTATGGCCATTTTTCATACTTATGACCACTGCCAGCATCCCCATGGTCGTGTGATCAAAATTCAGGAACATGGCAACTGGCATGTAATTATGACAGTTGCATTGTCCTGCGGTCATGTGATCACCATTGGCAACCCTCCCAGCCAGCTTTTGACAAGCAAAGTCAATGGGGAAAGCCAGATTTGCTTAATGACCACATGATTCACAACTGCAGTGATCCGCTTAACAACTATGGCAAAAAAAGAGCCTTGGTAGTACTAGGGTTTAAGGCACCCTGTTATTAAGCTGCTTAAGACCAGCTGCCTGCAATTACTGCAGGGTTCGAATCTCGCCAAGGCTCAAGGTTGACTCAGCCTTCCATCCTTTCTAAGGTAGGTGAAATGAGGACCCAGTTTGTGGGGGCAATAAGCTGACTTTGTATAAATATACAAAAGGATGAAGGCTATTGCTGAGCACATTGTAAGCCGCCCTGAGTCTTCGGAGAAGGGCGGCATATAAATCAAATTAAAAAAAAAAAAAAAAAAGGTCATAAAATGAGGCAAAATTCATTTAACCACTGTCTTACTTAGCCATGGAAATTTTGGGCTCAATTTGTAAATCAAGGCCTACCTGAAGTCTCTTTATAATCATGGGTCCTGAAATCTCTTCAGATGTGCTAGATGTGTTTTTTGAACAAGGGTTTAAAGATTGTTCGAGTCTTGGGCTGCACAGGAGTTTGACTGATGCCAGAAAACAGATCTGGGTTCTGCTTGTTCTGTACCCAGTGAGGGTATTCTGCAGCTTTGGCTGGCAAAGGGTTTGACATGACAGTGGTTTTTACTGAGGCAGCCATTGCCACTCGCAGCAAACCTCAGAATAAGTAGGTACATTCAATTGCATGGACATATTCCGGTTAATGTAAATAATTGCAGTATTCCACCCATATATGTCTGTGGAGAACAATTTACCAGAATAACACAAAGCTGTCTGTTGAAAGAGCCTGCTCTTGGAGGCCAGGGCCTAGTTTTTTCATCTCTTGGGCACCTACAAAATCATTTGGGGTTGCTATGGTGCAGAGGAGAGATGCTGGGTGAAGTGATAGGGAGTGACCCAGGTGCTTTTCTTAAGCCTCCCTTCATCCTTCTCACCTGTTAGCTGGACTATTTTTGGGCAAGTGTTTAATGCTCCCTCCAAAGAGCCTATGCTAAGATTGTTAGAATTAGCTAAGATTGCAATGCAAGTAGTTTTACCTTTACCTTACAATGCAAGTATTTTGGGATTCATCCTATGCATCCATTGTACTTTAGCAAAGGTAGTAAATGATTGCAACACACAGAATGGTATCTTAGTGGCAACATATTAATTCATATAAGAAATCAGAAACAAATGCAGAAAATTAATGTTGCAAGCATATTGAAATTTAAAACATGATTCCTTCTTCTTTCACTTCCCATGGGCATACACTTCTCAACTACTAACCTGGCATTTTTGTTAGCACACATGGCATATAAAAAAAATACACAGAGCATATTCTCCAATTTCCTATTTAACATTTCTAGAAGCGGCCAGGTGCTGCTCTACAGATAAATAATAATCAAAATAATATTTAAGAGATTTAGAAAGCCCACAATACTTTGCCACAATCTGAAGCAGGCAACAGAGAGAATCTCATTCTCTTTCCAATCTGTCTGAATGTGCAAAGCCCCAAATGTGTGGTTTTGCCATTGCAGAACAGAAAGCAGCTCTTTGGTTTGAAAACCTATTTCTTTCTTGATGGAATCGAAAACTTGCTGACTCATAGCTTGGCATCATTTGTTTTAATTCCTAGAAGAAAAACAATGCATATTTCTCTGATGAATTTTATACCGATATGATCCACCCATTTTTGTAAATCATTCCTGTCTTCTAAAGTATTAACTAGTAGTAATCTTTATTACTGAATTACCCTGATAAAATATTATTAGTTTGCCTTCATTTTGCCTTTGGGGAAAATATTAGTGATATTTATTTAAAAATGTATACCTCTGCAATCTGCATAAAATTGCAGCTAAGTTGTCCCAAAAGTGCTTTTCAAAAGACAACTGGGCTTTCTTTCTTTTTTTTCCTTGAAAACATTTAGCTTCTCAGCAGAACTGAATCTCCATAGACATTGCAGACAAGTTCTCAAAGCCCTCTCTCAGATTTCTAATAGCAATGGGGAAATGCATACTGACTCTATGGCCATGATTACAAAGGGCTGTGCTTGTTTCCACCTATTATGTGTCCAGAACTGTTTATCTTCACATATTTTAATATACAACCGGTAGAGAATAGCTTTCAGCATACCACAGTGGAGAAGGAGCAGATTAAACTCTGACTTAAATTAATTGCTTTGTGAGTATTCCCTACTAGACAGGAAGAAGAGAAAACAGCCATGGAAAACACATAGTGATAGTCAAGTTTTAAATTCACTACAGATGCCTTCTATTAAAAAAGGGGGGGAAAAAGAATTAAGGCTATTTTTAGGATCATGATTGATTAACGTTGCCATGGCAATAAGAAGCAACAGCACGAACATGGTATAATTTGCGCAAGCTAGGGACAAGTGCCAAAGAATTAAAGATACCAAACAGAAAACACATGACATCTTTTTATCAGTCAGTGGTGACTGCTATAATTATAATCTTTCCATACCAACCACACTTGAAATGATAATGAGATTACAATATTCTGAAATAGAAATATTGAAAAAGAAGACAGCTAACATTTCTCCACTCTTTCATTTGAGGAACCTGTTTTGTATGGTAATATCTGATGGGATGTTTACAGAACAGCTGAACTGATTCTTAAGTCATTCCTCATTATTCTGCTCTTTAGAAGCATTAATTCTGAATCACTGGAAATTATTTTGAGTCTATCAAATAATAGGAGTAAAAATGTATTTATTTGTCATATTTACATGACTGCCCATCTCAAGGTAACACATGGAATATTCGTATACCAATTATGTCCTTCAACTGCATTATCTGCATTACTATCAGAGACTAGTGATATTGCTTTAAAAAACCTTAATATTTCAACAAGTGATGTTGTCTTCCCATACCCTATCTCTTATCAAATCCTTAAGCCTCCTTGTTCAGTCTTGACCAGGAAAAGCCCATTAAGGGTTACCAGAGATAACATATCTATTTTAATCTTGATGAAAAAAACCAACTTTATATTCCTTCACGTTACTTTTAATAATATTTATTTTTCATCCCGTCAAATAATGTTCTAGAACAGGGGTGTCAAACTCACGGCCCACGAATTGGATGCGTCACGTGCTGGCCACCCCTATCCCCAGTTTAGCAGAGGGGGGAAAAGTCACCCTACATCACGTGATGACAATGTGACGACGTGAGTTTGACACCCGTTCTAGAACTTGATCTCTTTTCATTTTTTCCTTGTTCTTTCTTACAAAATTTTAACTTTCTAGACACAAGGACGGATTCTTCCCCCTATGCCATCACTCTGCTAAACAACTAATTCCAACAACACCATCAAACTACCCAGCAGGGCTGCACTACTATTATTCTTCTCATCTGTCCTATTACCTATTTCCTTATCTTTTTATGACTATAACTTTGTTGCTTGTATCTTACGATTCATATTAATTGTTTTATCCTAGTATGATTTATGTTGATTGCTTATTTAGTATCCTATGATTATCACTAAGTGGTGTATATTATGATTTCTGATGAACATATCTTATGATGACTATGATCCTGAATTATCACTTGTTGCTTGCATGTACACTGAGAGCTTATGCACCGGAAACAAATTCCTTGTATGTCCAATCACACTTGGCCAATAAAGAATTTTATGCTATTCTATGCTTTGCTACGCTACGCTACGCTATGCTTCCATTATATGAATGTTATCCAGGTTACTTTTGTTTTGTTTTTTTCAAAAAGTTTTTATTTTTATTTCTCATAAACATATTTAAATGTACAATCTTTTATCCATCATTTTCCATTCATCTTATCTTTTAACTTTCATTTTTAGTTGTTCGGGGCTGCTCTTTTACCATTTACCCTTCTTTATTTGGCCATCTTTTCTTCTTCTCCTCCCTTTTTCTTCCTTCCTCTATCTCTTCTACTTTCTTCGTTCTTCCTCTCCTTCTCTTTCCTACTTCCCCTTCCCTTCCCCCACTCCTCTCTTCTTCCCCCCTTTCTGACCCTCTCTCCTACTCCTCTTTCCCCTTCTTTTTCTTCCTCTCCTTTTCCCTTTTTTCTATCTTACCCTTTCCTCTCCTC